AATAGTGGTTGGATCCCTTTCGGCAAAACCCCAAGCTTTTAAATCATTGTCCAAATAGTTTCAATGTTCCACTAACAACCAACCATTTTAAGATGGCCTTTCTTTTTAGTCTTTACAATACATACATCTTTTTCAAAAAGACCCTCCAACAGGGAATTTAATTATCTCAACAACAAAAGAAGGACCTCATTGCAAAAAGGAAAAAAAAAATCGTCCCGATCAAATTTTTTTGTCGACGTGTCTATCCTTCTTTTGTTCAGTTAGTCTACTATTTATCGTGTCACATCGTGTTAAATTATCACTCATTCATTCAAGAACAATACTCATGTGGTGAAACTAGTGAGTACTTATGTTTTGTTGTCCAATGTTAAAATTTTTTAAAGATTAAGGGACCGTTTGTTTTTCGAGAATGTAGATGTCCGACATCTATAGATGCCTCAAATTTCAGATGTCCAGAATTTTAGATATTCAATATGTTTAGATAACCACGTTTGTTTCGTAGGTAAATTTATAAAGGTATCAAGAAATATTTGGATAGTCACGTTTGTTTTGTAGGATTTATTCTTGGGATGTGTTAAATTGATAGAATGTTATAAAAATGTCCCTACGAATATTTATATAATTTATAAATTCATTTAATATAATAGATTTATTTGAATTAATTTAATTTTTTTAATTTTTTATATGTTATTTTGTAAAACAAATTAATTCATATCAACTTAATATATATTTCATTTTCAACTTTAATAGTTTTCCAAAAACGCAATCGTATAATTTAAGCTATCTTGGGTGAAATTTATTTATCATATCATCACACTATATTCTTTGAAAAGGAAAAATATCACATGTAGGTTGGTCATAAAAAAAATGTTACTTTAAAATTATTTATTTATGATAATAAATATTATTTAATAATGTAATTCCTTCAAAATATTAAAAATTAATGGAGATATTATATAATTTAATTGCAATTTATTTACATGTAAATCTAATGTACAAATATACTTAACAACATTAAGTTGTTTATTAGACCATGGGTATGTTAATTCATTTTAATTATAAATTTTAAATTTTAAAATAAATAATTTCTTGAGGAAAAATAGAAAAAATTTGATGAAAGAAAATATATGGAAAAAAAAATTAATGACAAAAATGTAAAAAGTGGATACCCTCGACACAATCTTGGAAACCCGTGTTTCAAAAGGGCATCCAAAACTTATAAGATGTCTTCTGTATAGACACCCTAGGATATTCGGACATCTCAAAATTTCCAGGTATCTTACATCCCCTCAAAACAAATGTCGTCTAATAAAAATCTCGGATTTCCATAAAACAAACGGCCCCTAGAGAATTGTCAAAATTTTAGTGGTGGGTCAGCAACGAAATAGAATTAAAATAGAGTTTTTTTAAACTTAAGAATTAATAGACATGGTAATGAAAAGTTTAGGTGAAATCAAAGTGAAATGGATTGTCCTATAAAGAAACAATATTCTATATTATATGAGATATAATCTTTGACATTTTAGCAACTTGACACACCTTTCATAATCATTTTATTTCTCCACTTGATATTTCTTGAAAGTGCATTTAAAATTGAATAAAAACGCTTTTTATTTTAAAATCTAAAGATTTCAATTTAAATGAAATCATAATTTATACCAACTAAACACTTTTGATTTTTAATAGACTACCTATATAATTGTGTCCCTAATTTTTTTTCTTCAATATCACTCTTAAATCTTTTAAAATTTTCCAATTTTATCTTTTTATGTATTGATTTTTTTTTTCATTCAAATATTTATTCAACATTTTTTTAATAAAGATTAGTCAACATTTTTTTAATAAATATTTATTCGAGTGGGAATTCAAACATATAGTACGTAAGACAAATGTATAATGATTAACCATAGTGTGGTTGAGCATCGGTCAATCGAAGTCGATTTTTGGCCGACCTCGACGCAGAAAACTGACACTACCAATTTCAAAATCTAGAAACCGATGGTTTACCTGCAGGAACTGGTGCTGACTGAACTGATTATCGATTTGGTCGATCAATTTGTCGAAAAACAAACAATTTTATTATTATTTTTCAATTTCATTTTTTAATTTATTCTCTTTTTTTTTTCATTATTTCTATTGTATATACTATTTTTCACTATTATTTACATTCAAGTTCAAATTCTCTTCCAGGGTCAGGGGCGAGGGCTTCAAACCTAATGTCTAAAAACATAATTTAATAGGTATATTATTGTCGATCAGTCGATCGAAATTTGGATGTGCATAACCGCCAACCCACCGACTTGTCGGTTCTGAAAAAATATAACCGACAACTGAACCAACAAACAAATGAATCAATCAACCAATGTTGGTTTAGCCGATTCCAATCGATCGAATCAATTTTTTGGATCTCTTTTCTTACCCTTAAACCACAGTTGAGTTAAACTTTATGGACTATAATTTTATAAGAAAAAATTACTCGTATGTTGAAAATATGTTCAGTAACTAAAAAATGTAATTTTTGTTGTTCCGATCACCATAATAACAACTCCATTGAATAAAACATATGATTTTAAGAACAAATTATACTTTTTAAAGGTCAAACAACAAAATTATGAGCTTAATCTTTTAGCTTGGAACCATAATGACTGTTGAGCATAAAGAGGCATGATGTTCTAACAAATAAAAAGATGAAAAAAATGGAAAATTTTCAAAGCAAATCATTAACCTATCTACTAATTCACATGGATAGATAAACATAATATTCAAGCATATGGTTATGTTTGTTTGCACACGAGGAAACCTATACACATGGTGTACACTCAAGTATATCCTGAAACCATCTTCAAATTGTTAATTATTCTCCAAAAATAAGTGAAGTTATTCTAATCACATAAATTTTATAATTTGCTGTTTGATCTTTTTCAAGTATGTGTGTTGAATGGTCTATGTTGTTGACTTTATTGGTTTAAATAACGGTATACGTGACAAGTTAATTGCTTTAGTTTTGAAATTATGTGACGAGTTGATTTCATGTAGATTTAAATGTTTGACATCGTGAGCATTTGACTAATGGATTTAACCGTTGAGACATTAAACACAAAAATTGATAGTTCAAAGTTTGAGCTTATTAGAATCTTATTAAAATATGGGACTAAATAAAGAAAATAACTAAAAGTTCATAGACCTATTACAATTTTTTTAAATGTTGGGGGACAAGACTGAGGATCGTGCACAGTTCAAGGGCGGCTGTCCGCGCTCCACCTGGACACACAGGAGCCAATCTAGGTCTGCGCTAAGCATGCAGATGTGACACATCCTCATTCCACATGGTGGCAACCAAATAGGGGCAACTCAAATCGTTAGGGGCCGAGCTAACCAAAAGAAGGACCATAGAAGAGGTCCGAGCTTTCGCATGTCGACCTTCCCGACACTACCAAGGCCCAAGGTTGAATGGATCAACTCGCAAAACTAACCAGGGTGGACACAGGCCAGAGTCCTTAAGTTTGAGGTAGCCCCAAAATAGATCGGACTCAACTTGGCCACCGTACTAGGTCTTTAAGACCTCTACCAAGTGATGGGCAACCCCATGCGTCTATAAATATTATGGAGGCTATAAACCATTCGAGGTACATAATTTTCACTCCACTCTTCTCTACATAATAACTAAACTTAAGCTCATTCACTGACTTAAACATCGTGAGTGTGGTCAGCTGGCATCACACAATGTTTTCTCTCCCTCCCTCTGTGCAGATTATTGTCTATCATAATTTTTCGAGTTGACATCTCGTCCTTCTCCCGTTCACAACTGGTTCGACTTAACGTTGGATCACCTAATCTAATCGACCACTCATTTTTCACATCAACATAAAACACAAAAACTAAACCTACACAACTAAGTTCAAAGATTGAATTTATAATTTAACCTTTATAACTTTTGAGACTAATCCTGTACCACAAGAGCCTCCGTAACGAATTTAAAATTTTCATGAACTTCACCACGAGACAACCTAGTAAAGTGTCTTGGCCTCACCAATCCTCAAGTCAAGAGTCTGATTGATTTGATGTTCATCAAGTAAATGTTTGATGTTACATTTGTAACTCTTCCCCCATGGCGATAGTTTCTTTCACCTCAAACTTAGATACATGATGATTCAACTCACAATTTGAATGGTACTATGTTATATGTCAAGAACATTCAATCAATGCCCTTAAAGTAGAAGGCTTGTCCCTTTAACATGTCATACCCCTTACCTTAATATCTACAAAGTTTTACTTGTCATTGGAATGCCACTATTAATTATTGAAACAAATTTTGCTTCACAAGGAAAAAGAAAGAAGCATCTTGGCCTCTACCTTCCCCTTTTCCCTTTTTATTTTTTTGTTTCATTCAAAAGCAACACTCAATTAATGAATTTCCCCTAGGATGTATACTTTTTAGTTGATCAAAAGTCAACTATAATTATTTTTACCATATTTGTATCCTACGGTAGAAAGTCATTTTCTTTTTCTTCTTTTTCAAGGTAAAATAAGGCAAATCTAGCGATTTCTTGAATCTTCACCTCATAATTTCAAGTGGGTAGAACATTACATTGAAAAGTGGGGTCGAAGAAATTGCCAATAAGTAGGAAAGGAAAAAAAAAGTTGTAGTTGTACTGAATTATAGATATTACCTTCATTCATGGTTAACCACGTCAATATTATTAGTGTGATCCAACAACATTAAATAATTTCTTTCTAAAAAATAAATAGTGTGAACAAAAAGAGAAGTATTCTACTAATACTAGAAAAAATTTCCTACTTCCTCATTTAATTAATTGCAAAATTTTGGTAATATAAATACTATTTTTATTCATCATCAACCATAATTATACTACTATTTAAGAATAGTGTGGGGTCTAGAAGATAATGATTAAGGAGTAGTAGAAACTTTTCTTACAATTAACTATGTGACAAATGACAATGTTACAAGTAAAGTGGGCCCCACAATTGATTTTCAAAGGTAAAATGGAAAATTTTTCAATACTATGGTAATAGATTAGAAACATTTTGCAATAAGTGTTTATGAAAAACTAGGCAACAGAGAAAGAAAAAAATGTTACAATGAAGATGATCTATCAGCCTCACTAGGCAGATCATCTTCACTGTTTACTGCTGCAAACAACTCGAGATCATCACCGTCGTTGTTGTCGTCGCTGCAAAGATTCCTCTTCTGTAACTTTGAATGAGCTGAAATGAAAACCAACTTCTTAACACCTTCAGTTGCAGCTCTTGAGCATCCATAAGAACACACCATTCTTTCTAAATTCCCATTGCTTTTGAAGCCACATGAAGTGGCATGAAGAAAAATGAGCCTAATTGCAACTTTTCTCAATGATTTGAACTGAGTTAGGTATGTTTCCCAAACAAGCCTACTGCTCTGTGGATTGGCAGCTCTCAGTTTCCCACTAATGGGATCTTTCTCCTTCATTTGGACAGCTCTTGCATACACTTGATCAAGCCCTTCTGTTCTCCATTTCATCAGCTCCATCAGTGCAATGTGGGCTTCTTCCCTCGACACGAGCCGGGTTATCAGCCGATCGACGTCCTTCTCCTGCTCGGTCGTAAGGCATTTGAATGGCGGGAGGTACTTCCCGCTGCTGTCCCGAATCAGATAGAGCGGATCAAGCACGAACGCCGCAGCCCAAGCGGGGTGATAGTTTTTGTTAAACCTTCTTGAAATTATCTTCTCCACTGATTCTTCTGAGATTTGGAACTTTCTGCACCAATCCTTCACTTTCTCTCTCAATTCTTCCCAAAGGGGAAGGCATTGGCCTATCAATGGCCTCTCTGTTTCAATCTCTTGAGCCCTTTCCTTCACCAATTTGATCAAACAATGCACAGCCTCCACTTCATTCCAGAACTCAGAGTTCCCAACTAAGTAAAACACTTCTCCAGCAGTGGTCTCCTCCATTGATGGCATCTTCAACGCTTCGTCCAGCCGGGCCGACTGCATTGCGGGAGCGGACTCGAGCACATCCTCCACCATTGCGAAGAGTTCCATAGCTTCCATCTTCTCAGAGTCAGCTGTGGGTAACGTTATCAAACAAGTATGGCGGCTATGGCCACATTCTTGCAACTGATACTTGTGGAAGATTGTTCTGACATGAGACTCAAAATTGAAGAAATGGGCTACCCTTTTGCAGTTTTCAGCTACTGTCTTGAAAAGTGGGAGCTTTCTAGTGAAATCTTTAACCAAATCATTGAAAGCTTGGAACTGACATGGAAGATTGACCAGCCATTGATGCTGATCTTCCAAGCTTCTCAATGCCTTGGCCTTGAACTTATCAGCCACGATCCCAACGCACTTCTCCTTATTGCTTCCACAAATTTCCAAAACTGTATCCCAAAGCACTTCCTCTGCAAATTTACAAGGAACAGAAGAGCTAAGAAACAGAGTCTTTCTGTACAAACTAGTCCCATGAGGGAGGTTCAGAGCCATATGAACCATGGTCTTATCTTCTTGGTTTTGGGCTTTGTTCCAGCCATTGGAGGCGATTTGGAAGAACATGGCACCACTGGCTTTCAATTCTACATCAGCTCTAGCCATCTCGTACTTCGAATTCAGTCGTACTCGAGCGAAATCTCGAGACGAGATCAAAGGCAACCCCACCTGATTCAAGAAAGCCCTGAATTTGGGGTGCTCCAAACTCGAAACAGAGACCGACCCAGATGATTCAAACACCCAATCTGCAAGAAAATCAAGCGCAGAATCGATTTGGGTCTGGTTCAGCGATGGCCCAGGTGAAGTTCTTGGAGTTCTAAGCTTTTTCACACTGTTTTCCAACATAGCCAGCGCCCCCAAATCCTGTTTCCCACCTGATAACATCAAAAACGGATGCTGCTGCTGCTGCTGGTTCTGTTGAGGTGGGAAGGATGAGAAGGACCCGCCGTAGACCGTAAGCGGCGGAATGTCGTAGAATAAATCGGAACCGTCGCCGCCGCCGCTGCCGTCCTCCTCGTCCTCGTCTGCTGCGGCGGCGGAATTACTACGCTTACGAGAAACAGGGGAAAAATTAGGGTTCGCGTTCGCGAGAGAGTTGAAATTAGGGCAAGTCCCGCGCTTCAAATGCTCGGAGGCGGTTCTCGAGGGATTCGAAGCGGAGAAAACGGCGTCGCAAAGGGAGCACCGAAGCTTGACGGCCTTGGGGAATCCGGTGTCGGAATTTTTAAGCAAGAGGGGTTCGAGGTGAGACCAGTACCAGGCGCCTTTACCCTTGAGGGCTTTGGTGCGGACCATTAAGAGGCCTTCGTAGCGCCGGTGGACGGCTCTGGCAGCGACCTCGTCGGCGGCGGCCGCCATTGATGAGGAAACAGAGCTTCAGAGAGAGACGGCGGCGGTGGGTGGCTCCGGGGAATCATCCATTGGGAGGATGGATTCCGATGGGGAAATAGAGGGGGAGAATTGTGAAGTCTGAAAAGGGGGAAATGGGGGTTTGGAAAAAACGGCGATAGAGAGAGAGAGGGAAGGGAGACATGATGGGGCCATGTGAGGGAAGCTCCGAGGAGGACGGGGAATGACGGAATGGCAATGGAGGGGAGGGAGTTGTGAAAATATCGATAAAATGTCGATGTTAAGAAATTACAAAAATGAAAATATTCCTGGCAATAAAAAAAATGTTGTTGATCCATCGTCTCAATTTCGAATTCGGTGTTGTATGAAAAATGTTGGTGGACACGTTGATATGTTTATGAAAATTTAATACTCTAGTCTATATGTTTTACGTCAGTTTAGCTCGACAATATTAAAAAAGAAAATTTTGTTTAGCTCAAATGGATAAAGTCATATTTTTTTTTGTTATTTTTGAAGTCAAATGTGCTAAATTTATTGTACTAAAAAAATTTATGTGGATGGAAATTAAACTTATAACTATTACTTTCATCTAAATCGAATTTTGAAAACTAACAAAAAAAGATTGTTGAAGAAAACTTATTTTTGTTTTTAAAATTAAGAACTCAAATGTATTCTCAATGAACTACCCGTTAAAGATTTTCTTTAAAAAGAAAAAAAATTAAAGAAATAGTAAGAAAAAAAGTATAATTTTCCAAAACAGAAAACTAAAAGCGTAAATCGTTCTCAGACAGTATTAAGACGGTGTAGTTTTCTTCTAATTTACCCTCTAAATTTTCAAAATTGAAATATTTTATATATAAAAATTAATATTAAATTTTATATGTCTCCATTGATATCTACTTCGTATTGAATTTTTTTTTTTTAAGTATTTTGAACAAATTTTCGGGTTAGGGATGAGGAATGAGGTAGGCACGTGGAATGCACATGTCTTAGGAGATGGTTGGTTAGTTCATACTCTTTGCCTACTTGTCTTTAGTTGTTGGGGTGGTAAGGAGGACATATCTTGTTTCTTTCTTTCTGTTTTTTTTTTCCTTTTTGTGTATAGAAACTTATTATTATAATATGGTAGGAACAATACTTTCTTATATTCCGACTTATACCTATCATTTATTTTTAATGGTTAAAGAAATACGAGTGTGATTTATTTATCTGTTACGTAATAAAAATAGATCAATATAAATATACAATATCAGAAAGCGTTGACACGAGTTTCTACTGATCGTTATATAGGTAAGTATTGTTCAAATTATGTAAGGAGTATTCTATAACAAAGTGTTGAAAGACATTATTGAAATACTTATATCTTTATAGTTGTATGATGTTACCCACTTCGGGTTTCAAAATGGATTTATTTTTGAAATCTCCTAAAAACATCTCATACTAAGAAGGATGTTTCTTGTTTAAAAGAAAAAAAAAGATGTTTCTAATGTCTATAATCTCCATTATGGTCAGAGATATGTGTCTTAACCACTTGAACTATGTTCGGTTTGACTTTTTTTTTTTGTCATTTGAGAGGATTCAAACACAATTCTACATCGTTACGTTTATAATTTGATTTTCATTCTACTCATTCCTATCTTTACCATGGTATAATATTTTACCTTTTAGAATTAAGTCTTATGATTTTATTTTAAAATACCTTCTGAAAATGTATTATATAAATAGAGATATTATCTTTATTTATATACTCAAAAAGTTTTTTCTTTTTCACTTGCTAATGTAAAACTATATATTTGGGTATTAGTTAGGCTGAATGGTTTAGATGAATGTTGAACATCTCATCAATGGGTCAATGAGTAATTTCAATGACATATGCCCATATTTCACATTAAAAAACAGTTAATTTAAACTTTTAAGTCCCTCTTTTTTATCTTTAAACTTTTAAATTTTATTCTATTTTTGGTTTTTAACTTTCAAAATATTTATTTTAACCCAAAAATTTTCATTTTTTGGAATGATTGTCAAATGTATCCTTATTTCTCTTTTTAATAAAAATAAAAAAAAACAATTACAAATATTTTTTTTATTTTTCTTCTTTAAAAAAGAGACTAAAAACAAGAAAATAGACATTTTGATTCCTAACTGCAAAATTTTGATACAAATTTTATACCCAATGAAAATTTTTAAATATAAATTTATTATTACATTTCAAAAAATTTAGAGAATGAAGTACCATGCAAAAATTATGATTGAAACAAATAGATCAAAATGGTGTTATTATTTTAAAAAGTGCAAGACCTTAAAGGAATATTTCAAAAATTTATAAACTAAAATAAATAAAAATTAAAATCAAAATCAAAATAGACGTTTTGAATTATATGGACCGAAATAAACCAAACTATAAATCACATTTAAACCTTAATTTATAGAAATTAATAATGTTGTAGCTATGGAATCACAACTGTCATTCACCTTAATTTGTAAGCAATTATTTTGAAGAAAAAAAAAATGTTTGGATCCATAAAAAGGTGGATTGGACATTTGTGGCCTTAATTGTTGACAATCAAAATTCAAAATAGAGAATGAAAAGACATTGATTTCATTATTCATCATCTAATTACACCCTTTTTCCTAGGATTTTTCTAGTGCATTTGACAACAAATATTTGACCATTTTTTTAGTTATTAGTTTAGATTTCCTCTTCTAGAAAATGATTGAATTACCATCTCCACATATTTTGAACTTCAGAAAAAAAAAAAGAAAAAAAAAAGAGAGAAATTGAAGTGTTGATGTTTTTATAGGTTCAATTGAAGGGTTCAACATTCAAATTATTGGTTAACCTAAACATAAATATGTTTAGTCAAAATATTAGTAACCTACTTTAAATATTATAGATCCTTATTTGCATTTCATGTTTAAATTATAACACTAAAAAATTGATGTTATAGGTAATAGTTGTTTTCGCTTTTAATATCATTTCCATAAAATTGAGATTTTAACATTTTTTTTATTTTTTTTATTTTTGTTGACATTCAATATTTTAATATTTGAATTAAGAGATTGGTGGCAGTGTCAAAATTTTATCTTTTGCTTTTTGTTCTAGAACCATATTAACCTAGGCTAAAAATATAATTGCAAATACAACAAATAAAGTAAAGTATGTGTTAATGAATGATTATTATGATTATAGGTAAATTAATATCCAAGTTAACCAATAGCTGCTATGATCCCATACATACATATATATATATAGGAGAAAATCTATGAATCCCACATGTAAAAAATGGCTAAATTATATAAAATGCATCTAAATTTTAGAATTGATATCGTTATCGTTTCAAAAGTTTCATTTTAACCCTTTAGCTAATTTTAATATGCAGGATAAGTTATATCTATAAAAAAAGTAAAAAATAAAATCCTTTCGTTCATCCATTAGGTCACCAATGCGAGTGGTTTGTCCATGATAGCACAATCGTTTTTTCTTGATAATATCTGGGGTGTGTTGTTGTTAAGGATCCCACGTTGAGAAAATAATGGATCTAACAAAGGTTTATAATAGACATGGATTACTCCTCTCACCGTCAATTGATTTTGAAATGGAACCTCATGAATATTAACATGGTATTAGAGTCAAAAACACTTAAACAAACATTCGGTCCAAAAATAGGATTTGGCCAAGACCGATGAACCAAAAAAAGACATGGTAAAGATCTCACATTAAAAAGATAAATGACCTTACAAAAATTTATAATACCCCATAAATACTAATAGTTTTTTTTTTAGTATAATGTGTTGGAGAGGGGATTCGAACCGAAGTATATGTCAATTACCACTGAGCTATTTTCAGTTTGACCCGTAAATACTAATAGTCGTTGTTGGTCTACACTTCACCTTTTTTTCTCCCTCTCAAACCCAAAACATTTAAGCCACAATTCAGCTGCAAAGTCAAAATTTTATACAAATTCTAATCAAGGAAGATGACAAAGAGTTCTCTTTACACAGCTTAAAAGTGAGTTTAAAGAGTTAAAATGAAGCCTTCTCAATGATAACAACTCATGGAATTAACCCTACAATTCTAAAACATTTGGTATAATTTAGCCAATAAAAAAGTATACTAATTGTAAAGACATCTATATTTTCCTTAAAATTTTTAAGATTCAAATACTATCTTATGATTGTTCAACTAAAAATAAAATAAAAAATTTTTAAATGTCATGATAAATAAAAAAAATTGAGATTAATTCTATGACACTCAAAAAAACGTCACGAATGGATAGAGGTACATTTTTGGTAGGAAATGACAAGAATTTTTTCATTATTTACGACGTTTTTTAAATGTGACAAACAGTAAAAAAAAAATAGATTCCATACAGTTAAAAACATCATGAAATAGTAGAGTCACGTTTTAAGAAGCTTTTAAAGGGTAACAACTGTCTTATCCACATAAATTTATTAAACAAGGTGTTTCAAAAAAAATATTAAATAAGATTACTACAATGAGGTTTTCCCTAATAACCGTGAGATGAAGATTTCAAAATTTTCATGATCTCCCAGTATTTTTACTATTTCTCTCTTGTCATCAGAGATTCGCTCACACGGGGAGACACGTGTAGGAAGTAATCTGAATAACCGACTTCTCTCCGTTGAGCGTGCAATTACCAAAGTATCAGGGGATAAATTCTATCTTGGAGTGATCTCGAAGATTTATTTATTGTGACTATCGAGACTTTTTTTTACGAACACATGGTTTGAACCCATTCGCTCTAATTCCTTTACTATTTAAATTGGTCCTTATTGCCAACGAACATCGTCGCGTCCTCCAATAATTTCTAGACTAAATTAGGTATGACTTGATGACCATATCCTTTTAATTGTAGGCAATTTTTCAAGAGTCACTTTTATTGGCTGTTGTGTCTAAGTTAGAATTCTTTTAATTATTTAATTTTTTTTTTCTGAGGAAAGTCTAAGTTAGAATTTTGGAATTCCTTTACATAATTTCTACATACAGTACGGATTACGCCCAACTTTGTTGAATCAAATTAATTGTTGAATCAATTTTTCTGAGGAAAGTCTATGCACCTCAAAACTTTTTAAATTGAGATTTGAAGTTCCCGAATAAATTTTTAACACGTGCATGTGATATTTTTAATTTATTTGATCATACATTAAAATTAAAATTAAAATTAATGATGAATTTATCAATTTATCTTAAATAATTAAAATTTTGTAATTTGTAAAAATTTTGAAACAAAAATAGTGACAAAATTAATTATAAAATATTTTTAATCATGATGTAACTCCAAAACATCTGGATGCGAGAGGTCGGTAGGAAAAAGACACAAAATTTCTATAAGAAAAAGTAAAAGAGAAATAAAGTTTTTAATTAATTTTAAAAAATATATTAACAAAACTTTTTATATTCTATTTTTCCAAATTATCATTAGTCAATCTTTTTCTATCCTAATTATGTGTGAGAATGTTAATATGTTTACCACCATTATTAGCAATATTTCTGCTACCATCTTTTTTTTTTTGCCCCCTATTTAAGACTAAGATTAATTAATATTCTCCAAAAAAAAAAATTTATTCAATAATTGATTTTGAATATATAAATATGACGAATGATATTTGTTAATGAATTATGTATATATATTTATCTATCACCAATGTTCAAAGTCATAAACAATACTGTTCTAAAAAATTAAAATATGATCTACTACACTACTTAAGAAACCTTTCAAAAAATCGTGAGAGATAAAAATACTGTTCTAAAAAATTAAAATATGATCTACTACACTACTTAAGAAACCTTTCAAAAAATAGTGAGAGATAAAAGTGAAGAAGAAGAAGAAATACCTCTGGCCAACAACACCGCTCTGAAAGATTGGAACGCGATCTAGATTAATAAATCTTAAAACTGAAGATCATGAGAGAAAAGAAAAAAAAAAGAAATAAGAATAAGAAAGAAAGAATAAACCTCAAATTGTGGTTGGAAATGAGTGGAAAGAGAGTTTTTAAGTGCAGAGATCGCAAAACTTTTGAAATTCTATCACTTTTTAATATTTTATAATTAAACAAGTGATAAAAAAAATTTTATATTCTAACTTTTAAATGAAAAATTAAGTTCAATAGCATTTTAAAATAAAAAAAAATAGAAGAAGAGATAAAAAGTTATTTAGGTGGGTTATTAATTTGAGTAAAAAATTTTGATGGGTGGAGAAAGAATTACTCGACACTGAATGAGAAATAAATATAATGAAATGATTAAAAGAGAGAGTTTTTTAGAGATAAAATTAATTTGAAAAAAATAGGATTTCAAGGTGGA